TCCATAATCTTCCCTGGTACCGAGGTCAGGCTGACAGGTCTGTAGTTCCTCGGATCCTCCTTCCGGCCCTTCCTGTAGATGGGTGTCACATTTGCCAAGAGGAGGTCTGTATTCACAAGCTCAGCAGGACAAGACCTGGGGCAGTACTAGCCCCAGCTTGGCCTTTGCCTGTGCCAACCAGAATTGTCCCTAAGAAATCCTAAACCTGTGGGTATTAAAGGCTGAAGACTACTTCAAATAGTTCAGTTGTTACCATCTTACTGTCTGGGTATGGGGCAGAGTATGGGCAGCCAAGGCCACAGAACAGTTCTTGGCTCATTCAAGGCGTTCAGGTGTGTGTCCCACTTGAATATCTCTAAATCTGGCAGGAGGGAAAGAAAGGTGAAGAAGGTTTGGACAGAAAAACAGAGCCTGCTCAGCTGTGGGGTGGCAGTGTGATAAAAACCATGAGAACAACGGAGAGTGTCATGGCTGCAGCCTTGCATTTGCACCAGGGAGAGAAAAATGAGCTGAGGCTCTAGCAAGAAAATAGAGGTTGAAGGTAAAGCCCAGACTAAGACTGTACGAAGAAGCCAGCAAGGAAGGTTGGGAGACAAAACAGCCAGGGAATGCATAGCTGGGAGTCAGGTGTGGATGGGAGGAAAGATGGACAAGAAGGGATGGAGGAAGGCTGGGGCGAGCTGGAGCCGTGAGACCACATTTCCCTTGCAAACCTGTTATAAAGATCCGGCTGCTTCTGAGAGGTGGTGGTTCTCTGCTCACGGCAGGTACCCAGCAGAGTGAGTACAGTGTGCAGCTGCTCTTCCTGTGCAATGAGTCTACAGAGAGAAAACCAGCTGGGTGAGCTGCACCCAGCTAATTACCCTGGCAGATCTTGCTGGGGTAATCCTAATGGAGAGCTTCTTCAACTCAGGAGAAAGCATTGCAGCCTTCCGTGACTCACTGGAGGACATGAGCTGGCAACATGTGCTGGCAGCCCAGAAGGCCAACCATACCCTGGGCTGCATCAGGAGAAGCATGGCCAGCAGGTCAATGGAGGTGAGCCTGCCCCTCTGCTCTGCTCTGGGGAGACCTCACCTGGAGCTCTGCGTCCAGCTCTAGAGCCCTCAGCACAAGAAGGACATGGAAGCGTTGGAGCGGGGCCAGAAGAGAGCTACTAAAGTGATCCGAGGGCTGGAGCCCCTCTGCTAGGAGGCCAGGCTGGGAGAGTTGGGGGTGTTCAGCCTGGAGAAGAGGAGGCTGCGGGCAGAGCTGAGTGTGGCCGGTCAGGGCTTCAAGGGGGCCCAGAGGAAAGGGGGGGACAAGCTTTTTAGCAGGGCCAGCTGGGACAGGACAAGGGGGGATGGCTTTAAACTGAAGCAGGGGAGGTTTAGACTGGATCTAAGGAAGAAATTCTTTGCAATGAGGGTGGTGAAACCCTGGCAGGGGTTGCCCCGAGAGGGGGTGGAGGCCCCATCCCTGGGAACATTCCAGGCCAGGTTGGACGGGGCTGTGAGCAACCTGATGTGGTTCAAGGTGTCCCTGCTCCCTGCAGGGGGGTTGGACTGGGTGACCTCTAGGGGTCCCTTCCAACCCAAAACATTCTATGATTCTGTGATTCTATGATTCACTTTGGGAGGGTTCAAGTGAGCAAATCTCCCATTCCTAGCTAAGATTATCCACAAGGAAGGTCAGTGCAGGGGAATGAGTTCCTTCAGTTTGAACCCCAATAGGAAACTTGACTAGCAAACATAAAAGATTTATTTTCAAAGTTAATATTTTGTTATAGATGAAGCTGAAATTTCCAGACTTCAGCAGACACGCAGTAGAAACTGCCTGTCTTTCCTGGTGATTTTCCTTTAAGCACCATGCAAGATACTTTTCTCCCCTTCCAAAATAATCCGTAATGCTTTTAAAGCAATTTCCCCTGGAAGATCTTAAATCAGTTTAAAGAAAACTAAATGCTCAAGATCCCTTTGTGTTGAGTCCCGCCTTGTCCCTCTCCATTTGCCTGCTGGAGAGCTCAACAGCCATTTCAGCGAGCTGACCCAGAAGAGAAACTGAAAGCAAGTTAAATAGAAGACGGTTTACTCCGAAATGGAGTCACAAAATGACACTTCTGCCAATGCAGGGGGAAAAAAAAAAAAAAAGCAAATCTGGGGAGAGGCTTCCTGAAGTGAATGCACAGCAATTGCAATGCATTACAGCGTTATTCCAATTTGACTTGCAGACTAATGCCTCCGCTTTTGTTGCTGCTAACATGGATGCATCCAGCCGCTATGCCTGATGTGCCATACCACAGAGTTACACAACAGAATAAAATACAATTTTATTGTGCCCAGCTTCTGTGTAACAACTCTAATATTAAAGGCTTCCTCAGCGCAAAATGATACAGGGCGGAAAAATGGTATAAAGGGAAAAATGGCAGGGACAAAATGAAAGGGAAAAAAAATGCACAGAGTTACAAAGGCCCATAGTAGGAGAGGTGGCGACTCTGTGGTGCCCTTCTGCATGTTCAGGGCTCCACATCACGCCTTTCTCTTCCGAACACCATTTTTAGGTAGGGCTGTTGTCTTACGCCTTGTCATCAGGGCACAGAAAGAGCAAAGATATGTGCTGAGGGGATGGGACCTTCCAGGTAAGAGAAACAGGGCAGCATTCACACTGTACAGATGATAGTTTGATCCCTTGCAATGCAAGGCCAAGCAGCTCCTTTCCTTGCCCCAGCCCCTTTAAAAACCCAGGCGAAGGATGCAGGTGAGACTGGCCAAGACACCCAGAGCTATCATAGTGCAGCTGGTTTTCACACTGCTGGCACCATTGGTGTTGCACAAGGGCGTCTCGCAGCAGGTGGTAGAAACACCAGCTATGCCAATATTCAGGTCAAATTCTGGGCAAATTGCAGAACATCCCTTGCTAATACGCTGTTTACGGTCATTGCCTAAAGTGGGAGAGAGAGAAAACAGGAAGAAAAGTCAGCTTTCTTATCTTGTATATTTTTTAGACTTCAGCGATAGGCTGGCTGTGCAATATCCAGTGGGAAATAAGTTGTCCTGTACTTAATGCTGTTGGTTTTCCCTTGGGCTTCATCACACCGCATCATTATTTGTGTATATGCGACCTATTGTGCTGGTTTGGGCTGAGATAGAGTTAATTTTCTTCACAGTAGCTGGTATGGGACTGGGTTTTGGATTTGTGCTCAAATGGTGTTGATAACACGGGGAGATGTCCATTACTGCTGAGCAGGGCTTACACAGAGTGAAGGTCTTTTCTGCTCCTCCCCCCACCCCACCAGCGAGGAGGCTGGGGGCTCACAAGAAGCTGGGAGGGGACATGGCCAGGACAGCTGACCCCAACTGACCAAAGGGATATCCCATACCCTATGATGTCATGCACAGCATGTAAACCTGGGGGAAGAAGAAGAAAGGGGGGGAAGTTCCAAGTCATGGCGTTTGTCTTCCCAAGTCACTGTTAGGTGAGATGGAGCCCTGCTCTCCTGGAGATGTCTGAACACCCACCTGCCCATGGGAAGTAGTGAATGAATTCCTTGTTTTGCTTTGCTTGTGTGCGTGGCCTTTGCTTCACCCATTAAACTGTCTTTATCTCAACCCATGAGTTTTCTCACTTTTACTCTTCTGATTCTCTCCCCCATCCCACCAGGGGGGAAGTGAGCAAGCAGCTGTGTGGGGCCGCATTGCCAGCTGGGGTTAAACCACAACACTTAGGGAGACCATCTCCAGATCTTATGACTCATCTGCTGTTTTCAGGGCCAACCGAGCGCAACCTAGGGTAAGAATTTGGAGAGTTAATGCGTTTGTACAGTGCAAAATTGCAAGGCATTGTCATGACCATGCCTTGGGATTGCTCCTTCCACAGTACCTGGCCCTTTTCAATTCCACCACCTCATGATCATATATTTGAGCTTGGAGATGAAACAAGGGGCCTGTACAGAGAAATCCTCTCTCTTCCAATGTCTCCCATTCCTGAGTGTGCTTAATCAGCAGTGCAATATTGTTATGATATATTGCAACAGAGACGGGCTATGCTGATTTCCCACTTGCTGCAAGATTTGCTCTCTGTGTGCTACGCTCTACCACATATTCTTCCACCACACCTCGTGGTGGGAGGAGGCTTTGCAGTCAGCCTAACCACAACTCCATCTTGTCATCAGAGCCTCAGAAAAGCTTCACACTTACCCATTCCTGTGATAGAATAAGTTGTGATACAGTGCTTCTCATTATCAGAGCATTTGGTTTTATTACGACAATCAAAATCGGAAGGTGCGTCTTTGCATGAGAAGCATGTCAAGGAGAAAGCTGCAAAAGAAGCACACAACACCCATCAGTCACCTTTAGAAATATCCATAGGAACATAAAACTGGTGGTTCTGGTCCAGATGGAGGCTCTGTCAAGCCCAGCAGCCAGAGGCAGACCTGGGTGTGTGAAACCTGGCCCCCGTGACTCTCCTGGACCCAAACTACTTTAAGCTCAGATTCTTGAAACTGATGTGGTTTGCTCATTTAGTAACCCTCAAGGGATCTTCCTTCTGGATACATACATGAGTGTCCCTTGAATCCATTTAAACATCTCGCTTCCCCAGTGTGCTTTTAGGAAGAGTGCCCCAGTCTACTACCACTTGCAGCGTGAAGCTCTTGTGGTTTATTTCCAACCTGGCTCCTCCAAGACCCATTTTCTGGCCACTAGTTCTTGTATGGAGAAAGACCAGTGGATTCCTGTCCACGCTATTTCACATCCTCGTCAAGTCATCTGAAGAGTCTTGGCCTACACATCCTTTCTCAGAGCACACAGACCAACAGTGAATGATTTAAAAACCCTTTTGAATACAAAAAAGGGACACACATCCCTAAGAGTAACCCCCCCTGGCCATACTAGGCATGAATATTTTGCTGCGTGCCCCCACAATGTATCTCAGATGAGGGACAAGTGACCTAAATCTGCCTCTCAGTGTTTGCTGGGAAGATGGATACTTGCATTTGGTGGTTCATTTTCAGAGCTCTCCTGAGTCAGGAGGCAATCTTGGACCTGTAGAAGACAGGGCTCGGCAAATCACCCCCTTGGCTGCAGCAGACTCCTTTTTACAGCCATCCATGGGTGATGACTGCCTAACGCTACAAAATGGGTACATCTGTAACACTGTGCATCCGCAAATGCTGTGCTAATACGAATGAATGAAAACAGCTTGGACTCAACTAAACTAAAGCAGTCATTCATAGCAAAGAGATCCTCAGGGAAGGTTTCTTTGCATGATAAGGGCAATTTCCTACTCATCTGTTCATCTGGAGCAAACACTCCCGCAGTAATGTCACCCACCAAGGGTTAGGATCATTCTTCTCATTTCCAGGATATCCCTATCTATGGCCAGTTAATACCCATCTTATTTTTGTACCAGCACTGTCCTTTGCCTTCCTTGCTCTTCTCTCCCTCTCTCTTTTTCTCCCTTCCCCAAGCTTCTTTGCCCTTGTTGATGTTTTTCCAGCAATGTCCCAATCTCTTTGTTGCCCTTATTTGACCTTAGACAAACTCATGTGCTCCCTATCATCCCACTAGCCCAGACCTGGCCCCAGCTCCAGCTGTGACCCGGTGACCATTGTATTTCACAGGAAGCCACAAAAATGCCTTTTAGGGCACTATTCACCCTTCTCTGTCTCTGCGGAAACTGTCTTCTCTCCCCGCTCCAGCTAATGACCCCTTTGCCACCCAACAAGACCATCAATTTCCTCTTGGGTTCTGTAGTTCTTCTTCCTCTTGTGTTCTTGTAGTTCATCTGAAGAACTGTCCCTCGGTGGCCTCTCACTGAAGAGCAGCTAGCAGAGGACACAGAGGCCAGGCAACGGGGCTTGCAATGACTCAGATCCCACTTCCCTCCGTTCCCATCCTCAACACCCTTGTGATTTCAGAAGCCTCCGACGTGGCACCCACCTCACTCTGACTTGATACCAGGACTGTTGCAATTTGCTTCCTACCTCAGTCATGGTCACTTCCGTCTCCAGGCTCTCACAGAATCACAGAATGACAAGGGTTGGAAGGGACCTCAGGACATCATCCAGTCCAACCTCCCTGCTCAAGCAGGCTCACCCAGAGCATGTTACACAGGACATGGTCCAGGCGGGGGTTGGATATCTCCAGAGAAGGAGACTCCACAACCCCCCTGGGCTACCTGGTCCAGGGCTCGGGCACCCTCAAAGTCAAGAATTTCCTCCTCACGTTCAACTGGAACCTCTTCTGCTTCAGTTTGTGCCCATTGCCCCTTGTCCTGTTGCTAGGCACCACTGAGAAGAGTCTGGCTCCATCCTCGTGACATCCACCCCTCAGATATTTGTACGTGTTGATGAGATCCCCGCTCAGCCTTCTCTTCTCCAGGCTGAACAAGCCCAGCTCCCTCAGCCTTTCCTCATAGGGGAGATGCTCCAGTCCCCCCATCATCCTTGTTGCTCTCCTCTGGACTCTCTCCAGTCATTCCTCATCCTTCTTGAACTGGGGAGCCCAGAACTGGACGCAGGACTCCAGGTGGGGTCTCACCAGGGCAGAGTACAGTCTCTTGCCCTGCTGGCCACGTTCCTCTTAATGCACCCCGGGATACCATTGGCCTTCTTGGCAACAAGGGCACGCTGCTGTCCTGCCTGGCTCTTGCCTTCAGTATTCTTCTGACACTGCAGCCTAGAGGTTTGGGGTTTTTTCCAAGTCTGGGACCCTGCTTTAGACTATCTGAACTCAAAGCACTGGGGTTTTATTGACTGCGGTTTTCATTCTCGTGCAAATGCCACACCGGCACATTTCTGCTCCATCCCACCAGGACCCACCCTTTCCTCGCAGAGTAACTGTACACTAGAGCAGAGTCCCCAAACTCTTTTTCCAGACATGACATTCATTTTATTCCTTAATTAATGGAACTTCATCAATCAAGCCCATTCCAAGAAAAAACTTCCTGGATCTATGCAGGAAACAGTGGAGCTTGTTATATGCCCAAGTCCTGTTTCATACCAACCTCCCAAAGCTGCTAATTTAAGACTACAGTTGTCCTGGGACCCTTCTAGCCAGGGGAGGAGACGAGTACCCGCAGGGGGTGAGTTTGCCAACATTTCTGTGCTCAGGAGGTTTCTCTCTCACTCACATTTACTATAGAGGACTCTGGAGGCATGTGGGCTCCTAACCTGGCAGCTCAGTTAAGACCCTGAAGCCAGGTAGGACAATTTTGATGCTCCGTCCTGGGAAGAAGAGCAGTTGCTCATGCTACTGAAAAACATATCTGGTTTTATTGCACCTGTTAAGATATCTGTTGTAATGAGCGCCGAGTGGGGAAGGGAACAATATTTCTTTAGAAATGTGCCCTGCTCGGGATACAAAGCCGGGGTTAAACCAGGATGCCTTTGGTGGTCTCCTGTCTGTGCCTAGCAAGACCTCTGCTCTAACTGAAAATGAATATTCCTCAAGGAAGATTTTCCTGTGAATAATTCGAGCCACCCAGATAAGCAACTTACACGTGTAAAGCATTCGTAAGCGCAAGTGCCGGCGAATGCAGGATTTACACTGTTAAAATCAGTCAGGTTCAGGATTAATTGGAACAGCAACCAGCCTTCCGGCTAGATTTCACAGTGAAGTGGTGCCGTGTATGTGTTAATTTTCACCAGCTCCTGTGGTAAATTTGCTGTCTCACTACGTGATCTTTTTAAAAAATGTGATTACAGTTGATAAGCTGCAGGAAAGAATCCTTTTGTTGCCCTCAACTTTCTCAACCCCCCGTTGAGCACAATGATTTAGCACATGCCAAATTTAAAGCCTGTGAATTCCCACAGTAAAAACATTTACAGCCTCAAATTAAGTGTGAACCTAAGTGCTCTGCTAGACCCGGACTGGAATGACCGGTAATTTTCAGGTAAAGCCCTACAGCAAAGCCTGAGAAAAATTCCGTTTACAATAATGCAACCCCTCCCCAAGCTGAGCAAATCAACTATTCCCCTGGAATAGTCAGAGGGATATTCAGGGCTGCACCCTCTGGTCCTTGCCTGACCCACAGCCCACCCCTGTGCCAATGGGGCATCTTCCAGAGGCAAAGGCAGTGGAGCCACAGCAGAGCTCAGCCGGGCAGAGTTAAAGCGCGTGTTCCCAGTGCATCTTCCCCAAAAGAAACAGCCACCAGTTATCAGAATGAGAACGGGATTCTGTGTCTCCATCCCAGACCCAGGATGAACGGTGGAAAATTTGCACCTCAAAGCTTTCGCTCTCCCTATTAAACTGTCTTTATCTCAACCCACGAGTTTTCTCACTTTTACTCTTCCAATTCTTTCCCCCATCCCACTGTGGGGTGGGGAGAGAGTGAGCGGTTGCGTGGGGCTCAGTTGCCAGCCGGGCTTAAACCACAACACAAGCTGCAAGAAAGAGATGGGAGCCAGAATTGCTTGTTCTCGTGGCGTGGCCATCACTACCAATTTACCTCATGATGGTTTGTAATTGCAACTAATAAAAAAGCAAGTGAAAAAAAGAAAAATAGATCAGGCCGCAGTTCGTGTTATGTCAAATTTGCAGCTTTCTTCTACATTGCCCTTTGCCTGTCCGGCTCTGTATATCCCTTGACTAATCCCCCTTCCCACGGAGCTGCACCAAGGGCTCTCCGCTGCCTTCATGGAGCCACTCCAAGGGCTGGTCTGGGACTGCACGAGTCAGGTGAGGTGGGTGTCCAATCCACTTCAGCTCCTCCTCATCCTTCCAGCTTCTGGTGGGGATACATCCCCTGGCTTCTTATCCTGAGGACTGGAATATTCTCTAGAGCCAAATGACCCTTCAGCTTTACCATTCTGCAATATCAAAGACACACCCCGACTTGGGGGGAGCTCGCTAAGTGCAAAGCAATCCTTGGAGACTCACCACTCTCCGTGCACAGGGTTATGATGAGCGCGACAAGAAGAGAAGTCTTCATCCTTTATAGGTCTTGCAGCCTCCAAACCAAGCAGGACTCACCCAGGGCAGGTTTTATACCTCCACAGTGTTTGCTTTACTGCTAGGTTAATAAATATAGGGTTGCTATGCCAGATGGTGGATAACTGGGAGTAACATGTCAGTGCTTGTGTATGAAAGTATGCTTTGCTGGAAGTGCAAACAGGCTTATATTCACCCCCCACTTCTTCTTTTCCAGGTTATTTCACAATGCAGTTTGTTCATCTGGTGTTAATTATGCAACAGTTTCTAATTCTGGATAAGTGGAGGAAAAAGCAAAACACAAAACCAAACCAGCGTCCACACGAGAAGAGGAATGTTTTCCTCTCCAGGTCGGCCTGGGTCTCAGAGCAGGCTGCATCCTTGAAGATCCTGTCCTCTCATACTGTTTTAGTACATATGGAAATGGATTGAATTTGAAATTGAAATTGGGATTGAAGCTTCTACAAAATGTCTCCCAGGATTGTCAATACAGCGAGATCAGAAGAGCAGTAGCCTTCCACTGCATTTCATAGGGGACCAGACATCATTTTCCGTGAGCCTTTCTAAGGCAGCGGTTCAAAATCATAAATGTTTCTGTTCTAAAACTGGATATTTTATATGAGGAAAAAATGTCCTCTTATTAGAAAATAAATTCCACTGAAAATGAAAATGACCACTTAAAAAAAAAAATAGAGATAACACCCACCCCCATCACACTGAACAGTTTTTTCACAAATTACAAAAAAATAAATGTCAGGGAGGAAAAAACAAACCAGTTAAAGCATGGGGAATGAGGGATTGCCTGATCAAGGATCTCAACTCATTAAGTCTCCGGAAAAAAAAAGAAATTATAGCCAGCCAAAATTATGTGAAATGCCAAATGGAGTACTCCACTGGATTTCCATATGGTGCTCTTTATTCCTTCTTATCATTTTTCATACTACCTCCTTGTATAAAATCAGAATCTTTCCCATCTTCTTCTGATTGCTGTTGCCTTTTCCTCCCACTGTTGTCTCTCTGACAGAGGCACGGTCCCAGAAACGGTCCAGATGGATCCTTTTCGCATGTCGCTCAGAGCTGCAGGAGCAACCTTTGTGCCCCAAGCCTCTGCCAGCGACTCTGCCCCTTGCTGCTCTCCATCTGTTTCGTTTCCCTTTCTTCTTAGTCTCAAAGTTGCTTAGATTTCCATCTCCCATTGAGTATTTGGGCTTCCAATATGACCGACCTACAGTCATTATCTCATTGAAAAGGCATGCCCAGTTCTTGAAGTGATGCAATTCTTTCCAACACCTCTAAATTGGATGTATAAATTTTATTACTATAGAGACCTGTGTGACTAAGGTGAGGAGACTTCTGCTTTCTCAATAGGTAGAACATGACTCTCAGTTGGAACGGAGGTGGCAATTAACCAAGAAAGCTCGAAGGAGGGGCGTTGTTTGGCTTCATAAGGCCAATGCCTTCGTAAGGCAGCAGGCAGGAGGAAAACAGAAGCTGGCACCCTCCATTCCAGGCACTGCAACCCTCTCTTCCTTGTGAAATGTTTTATTTTCCCCAAACCAGGAGGGATTTCATCAGCCTTTATTGGTAAATCAACTTTTATCGCTGACTATTTGAGGTAATAGCAGAAAAGGGGGCTCTCGTCGCAAGGCGATGCCGTTCTGCAGCCCATGCATTGCGCTGCAGAGGCAGCCCACATTCAGATTCATTTCAGCCACCAGCATCCATTAACAGGTACAGAAATAGCAGCTCAGCCAGGCGCTTTTTTTTCCCTCCTCCCTTGTAGTCTCATCCGAGCAAAAACTAAAATATCTCATCCCCTGCAAGCTGCTGAGATTTTGAGATGGCAAGGCTGTATTTCTTAAAGGAGTTATTGCAGGATTTCTGACAGACGAGATTTCCCATTAGATGGTCCTGAGCTCTTCCAACTGGTCCCATACGTCCCCCTGATATCAACGTTATCTCCATCCCTCACCAGTGCCAGGTGAGAGAGACTGAAAAGAGCCCATGGGGGTAGAAAGGACACAGATGATTAAGACGCCAGAGGGACCGAGGCAAAGGAGAAGATAATATCACAGCTTACAAGTATTTGGAAGCTATGAACTTCAAGAAGGTTTTGGAAAGAGTAGCAGGCGATTTAACTGGGGGTGGAGTATGGTGGTAGTAAGACTTACTTCCCTTGACGCCGTTGATGAGTGGGGAAGGAAGGAGAGTGTTTCGTTCATCTTGTTCTAAACCTGGTTGAAATTGTCATGTTGAGAAGGGCAAACAATTTCTTTCTTTTGGTGAAAACACATGGTTTTCATGAAAAAAAAGCCAAAATTTAAAAGTAACTGTGGAATTCAGATGTTTTTGCTAAATGTGGATTTTCAAGCTGGCCAGATGCTTTGAGAATCATTTCAGAAATTATCGTGATTAACATACAGGAGAAGTGATGGGAAAAGTGGTTAAAAACCAAGTTTCTGTTGGTCCCTCGGCACAGAAATGCTATAACGCTACCATTCTTCAGTTTTCCCATCTTGTATTTAAATAAATGCCAGAACATCCTCCTTGCCCAGAAATTAAATCTTTATAGGATGACTAAACCTAATCCCATCTCCACAGCCTTCGGCCAGGACTGCGGCTTCTCCCCGTTGCACAGAAACACATGCACTTTGCAGGCTCTCGTGAGCACTGGTGGAGCAGGACTCCCCTCAAATCCAGCTGGGCTGCAAACATCAGGGCTTTTTTCCAGGTGCCACTTCTATGCAAGCCCTCCCAAAAGTCAGCACTGCACTTATAAACTGCTCAGGTGAGAATTATGCACCCTCCAGCTCCGAGAGGATGTGTAATTTTCCCCATCTCAGCTATAGCTCCGCTCCTCCAAGAGCTGCAGGGGATCTCCACCCCAACTCCTCCATCCCCAAGCCTGGAAATGCAGCAGCAACAGAGGACAGAGGAAAGGGAAGGAGCAGAGACCTCCCCACCACATCAGACACCCATCACCTCTGCCAGGTTCTTTTTGCCCATTTCCTCTGTCCCTGCAGGGAAGTCACTCAGACAGTAGCATCTTCTCCAGGCGGGTGTGGAGGTCCCCTTTTCCATGAGGACGGATTCCAGCAGCGCTGTCCTCATCTTGGACATCTCCAGCATCTTGGGGTGGGGCCTATTTTAAAAGCTGAAACTACCCACCCTGCAGAGATCACATGAGAACTTTGCAGCACAGCCAGGAGCACAACCAATACCTGGCAACCCCCCAGTCCCGTGTGTTGGCAGTTACAAAACAACCCTTGCTGTTGCTTGCAATGGGGACAACACAAACATCTTTGACCTTTCCTGACTGACACCTTCATTCGTTAGCACTGAGTGATCAGGCAGAACATCTGGCTTTATGGAGTGTTTGTCTTGAGCTACTGGATGCAACTAAGTCAATTGAGAAAGGCAGCCAGGAGAAGACTCCCAGGTGCTAAAAAGAGAAATTCAATGTGAAGCAGGGATTCAGCCTACAGCTCTTTCTGGCAGAGCTGTTTTCTCAGGCTGATCTTAGTGTGGATATAGCAAACACACTCTAGGATAACGTAAATCTTTATTCTGTCTGATGATTGTCACACACAGGTTATCAAAAGAGCTTTCCCAGGGAAAATTAGTACAAAACAAATGATACAGGGGGAAAAATAGGAGCTGCACTGCTGTGCCATTTTATGGATGGGATCCGAAGCAATGTCTTGGAAAAAACAGGGTAGCATAGACCCTGTTGGAGACCCTTGACAGGGGATGTTGGGTTTTCAATTGGGGAATACCTTGTAGGTTCTTCGGTTGTCACATCTTCTCCCACGCCTCATCACAATCCTGCCCGGATGACACAGATCAAACTGGCCACCATTCCCAGGAACATCACGGCGTAGCTGATTTTTATGCTGTTAGCACCACTGAAATTGCACAGGGAGGTACTACAGCATTTGGTGGAATAAGCTGCCACACCAAAGTTTATGTTCGTCTCAGGACAGTCTACAGAACATTTCTTGGTGATGCGGTGTCCCGTGTCCTTGCCTGGATGGAGAGTAGACAAGAAAGGAGAGCTGTGATTTAAGATTCTTGTGCAAGAGCTGACTGGAGGATGATAGGAGGAGGTATATTACACTAGGCTTAATTTGCAATGCAGCAATAACGGCAATCAGTGCATTTGATGAGTGCTGGGTGAGAGTCCCCATAACCTGGATCAAATGCATGACACTGGAAAGTCCTTGGTAGAAACCCACACCGTGCTTCGTGTAGGACAGCAAAAAATTATGGCCAATGCATTTTTAGCTTCTAAAGCCATGTTACTTAGAGCCAACACCTTTTTGTCCTCCATCACAAAGTGTGTGTGCGAGCTCCCAGATCAAGCAACAGGGTCTGCTCATGAAAACCTCTCTGCTCCAACCAACCCTGCCACCAGGTGGTGAGGAACATACCCCAGGTGGTGGAACACAGGGCACCGCTGAGGGATACACACGTGTTATAAGTTGTGATCCTTAAACCTCAGTGATCAACAACTACCGCCCTCAAAAAACTATTTCCCATCAGTGTCTCTGGAGGAAAAAAAAAATAAAAAAGCTCCTTGATGTGTTGCTGGTACTCACCAAACCCAGCAGAGCTGTATGTGGTCGTACAGTATTTCTCATGGTCTTCACACTTGTAGGTTTTCAGGCAGTTCCAGTTGGAGTGCTCGTTGTCGCATGTGTAGCAGAACAGCGAGGAAGCTGGAAAGAGCACACACGACACAGGTTAGTCGTTTCCAGTAACACCCTCCTGGGAAGAAAGTGTCAAAAGCCATGTCCCGTTTCGGAAAATACCAAGTGAAAAGTATGTTGCGAACAAGTTTCCATGACAAATGAAATAGGGCATTGGCTTTGGTTAACGAAGCTGAAAAAGCAAACAAAGAGAACAAAACAAGTTTTCTTTCTTTATTAGAGATTTTCAGTGATTAAACCTGAAAACACATTTTTTTCAGCCTCAGCACTCTCAGGTGACCTTTCCTTCTCTCCTGGGTCTGCATTGACCTGGTTGACAGCCAACCTGCAAAAGCAGAGCTCGCGACCTGCCCAACTGGGTCTAGTATAGTTCTGGCAAGGAGAGGATGAACTGGCACTGTTCTTGGGTGAGAGCTTAGGTTTTAGTATTTTCAGACTGCCTCTGCATAACACTGTACAGACACGAATTAATTAAAGCCTGTGATAACCCTATGAGCTAAATTCCTGAGCACAGAGCCACAATAAAGGGAGTTCCCTTGGAGAGGTTGCTCCGGACAGTAGAGATATTATTTCTACCACTGCCTGGAACAACACGTTCTCAGTGATATGATTAGCAGAGCTTAGCCAGGTCTATTACAAAGCCAGAAGGAGGTAGGATATGTATATGACTGAAACAAAACAAAACAGAGCTGAAGTAACTTGCGTTTCCAGGCTGCCCAGTTGGGCATGTTAGAAACACGGGCACATACCATCTCATTCCCTGGAGGTAGATTCACAATTGGTGGAAACTGTTTCCCTCTCGTTTAGAGTCCCATGAAATGCTCCTCATTTCTGATCAGGGGTGACAGAGGCAGTTGAGCTGCTCTCAGGACAGCCTGCTCCATTGCCACCGGTGGTGGAGAGTTCCTGGTCGAAGGTGACCAAATTGCAAGCCCAGGAGGGTCCTCCTTTAGGCTGAAATTTCCCTGGTTCAGTTCCTCCTGGCTTTCTCAACCCAGGAAGGTTCTTAGTTCTGCTCAGAATAGCCCCTTTCAATTGAATTTGAACCTATTTTTGACAAGGAAACTCCTTCCAGGGACTCTCCAAAACCCAGCTACTCCGTTGATTCAGATTCATCTCTGAAGTTGAACCAGCACATGACACTTTATTAGACGATTCCAGAAGCAGTTTTAAAAGAGAATTAAAAGCCATTTTACATGCTAACTACCCCAGATAGGAGAAGAAATGGCCAACCCTTCCTGCTGGAGGGAGCTCATGTGCCTTGTGTACGGCTCTGGAACCAGCTCTGGGTCTTGGTGCTCCAGCCCCAGACTGTCTTACTCTGAAACCTACCCAGATGCTCTTTTCTAGTGCCCAGTGTTGCACGTGCGGGTGTTCTCCACAGCAGCAGATAAAATCATCCTCGTTGCATCCTGGTTTTAACTTCTCTTTAACTGACTCTTCAGCCTCTCACCTCTCCTCTGGAGGTCCCCCAACCCAAGCTGTGGTCTTCTGTCCCTTTGCAGACCATGCCAGGGCAATCCCAGACACAATGCCTGCCAAGCATTACTGCATTTCACATTCTCTCATCTGCTTTTCTCACAAAGTTGTTCAAACCACTTCCTGCTGCAGTTGGAGCCGAGCCCCCAGCATGTGCGTGAAAGCAACCGAAATGCACTCGTGTTCACTGCCTGATGCAAGGAAAATCCTTCCCAGTCAGGAAACAATAACAGCTTAAACCATTATAGCTGTTATAAAGCCTTGCCTGCGTCTGGCCTCCACCCTCCATTAGCTCTAATTTTGCAAACGCAGCCAGAAATAGCCTTAACGGTGCAAAAAGGCTTCCCAGTACTCCTCAGGATTGCAAATACATTCACAAATCCAGTGTTTCTCAACTGGGTATTTCTAAACAATTATCTAGTTACATCTGCACCTCTTTTTGAAAAAGAATAAGCCAAGAACATTGTGGATCCCATTATAAACACACTCACTCCCAGACACTTAAAAAAGCTCTTCAAACCTATGAGCTCTTAGGCTTTCAGATATCTGCCAGCGACCTAGTTTTTTTATTTGTAATGTCATTGTGGGAAATAAAGTGAAATGCTGGCAAAAGATGCGGTGTCAACACCAGCCCCGTTACCTCTATCAACAACTCCTGACGTTTCATTCAGGATCAAAAATAAAACCAACGGCAAAACTATGAGCCCAGCTTAATTTCTATTAGCATTTTTCAGTTCACACGTCAATCTTCAGATGTGAGTGGTCGGAGCTCGATACTTGAGGGTGTGAGAAACCAGACTGCTGAGCTTATCTTCTTTGGGTTATGGGTACCTCGGCAGAACTCACCCAGAAGTTAAGACTCAACCACACCAAATATCCCTTGACGCAGCTGATACCAGAGAAAAAACTGCACTGCCAAGACCTCACCAACTGCAATAAAAGCTGTCAAACCTTCTTGTCCCTTGCGTTATCTCTAATTTCTCTTCGGGTATTTTCATCCTCTCCACTTGGCTTTCCCAGCCTCCAAAACTCCTTACCTTGCTCAGCACACAGGACTGCCACCAGCAGGGCAATCAGAAAAGCCTTCATGGTCGTTGTGCCCGCAGAGCCCGAACAATGTGGGATGGTGCACGATGGTAAGGTTTTATACTGGCACCACGTTTCCTTTGACTTCCTTTGATTAGAGTAATTTGAGGTTTGGGGAGTGACAGCACATAAGATGTGATCAGCGATGGGCGTGTTTGCGCGTAGGAACATATTATGAAGCTCCAGCCAGCAATTTTTTTTTTTTGCATCTCATTCAGGTCCAATCTTTTTTTCCAAGGACTACTCCCACTGACCATGGCTGTGTTGCTAATTTGGGGAACAATTTATCTGATTCAAACATGGGTGTCCCTTCTTACTCTGCTGGGCTGAACTGCAAAACTTGGAGCAAAGCAGAGGCAGCCGTGCCAGTCTGGGGTGGCTCATTGCTTGCAAGATAGTAGGCATCACATGGCATCATAGAATCATAGAATCATAGAATCATAGAATCATAGAATCATAGAATCATAGAATGTTTTGGGTTGGAAGGGACCCCTAGAGGTCACCTAGTCCAACCCCCCTGCAGTGAGCAGGGACACCACGTCCTCCATACTTTCTCTCTGCCATGATATGAGAGCTTCATATCTGTGGGCATTGGGAAAGGATGCAAAAAAGAAGGTATTTTGCTGGATTGTCCGAAGTCATTCAGAATTATCTCACTTGTACTAAGTGCTTTAAGCAGAAAACCAGCTCGTATCGTTCCTGCAATGACACTATTTGTGCCTGAACAGTGGCACTCAGAGGCTCCCACGGTCCAAGCAGGGATGGGATCCAATGCATTTGTTTTGCTCTGTTTCTGTGTCCTCCAGAAGCATCCAGGGTTTCCAAACGACAATGTTTGTTGTTACCTGTAGACCAACTCTGGACTCTGTCAGGTTTTTCCAGTCCCTCATGACCTTTCCACTCCTTCTGGGCTCCCTTCTTTTGCTCCCACATCATCACCTCTTGCCAAATGTCTTGGGATGCAGCAGAGGCACAAAGTGCATGGGAATAGCTGCAGGAGTTAAACTGCGAATGGGAGCAAAATTGCTGAGAACTAAATCAAGTCCTGGTCAAGAAGATATCTCAGCAGACCAGGGCCCTTCATCTTTAGAGAGGTAAATAGAATCATAGAATCATAGAATTGTTTGGGTTGGAAAGGACCTTTAAGCTCATCCAGCCCAACTGTTCCCCTACCCCTGCCATCCCGCCCCCAAACCCTGTCCCTAAGCACCATGTCTTCCCAGCTGTTAAATACCCCCAGGGATGGGGATTCAACCCTTTCCCTGGGCAGCCCCTTCCAGTGCTTGACAACCCTTTTGGTGAAGAAATTTTTCCTAATGTCCAACCTAACCTGCCCTGGTGCAACTTGAGGCCATTTCTCCTTGGCCCATCGCCTGTTATCTGAGAGCAGAGCCCAATGTCCCCTGGCTCCCCCCTCCTGCCAAGCAGTTGTAGGGAGTGATAAGGTCTCCCCTCAGCCTCCTCTTCTCCAGGCTGAACACCCCCAGCGCCCCCAGCTGCTCCCCAGCAGCCTTGGGCTCCAAGACCCCTCACCAGCTTCATTGCCCTTCTCTGGACATGTTGATGATGACCAAGGGGAGCTCAGACTCCCAAGGTCACAAATTATGTGGAAACAGAATAAAGATCATCCAGTTGCTCACTTTTTTCCCCAAATTACTCCTCGAGGAGCTGGTTCATAGGCTTTTCCTCTGATCACCCTTCTGCAGGATCATGGGCAGATGACCCCTTGCCCAACCCCTGTGACGGGTCTTTTGCGTTCAGTCATTCTTCCTTTGCGCAGTTCCTCTTTTCTACAGCAGCTTCAGCCCCCAATAATTTCTGTCTCTGCCTGTACCCAGCGCAGGGTGGAGGGGATGAGCATCCAGTTTGTCAAAGTGTTCCACTCTGTTCTCTGGATTTGCCCTGACCTTGAGCATGAATCTTTAATCATCTCCTCTTTTAGCAAGGACATGAGAGACCCACGTGACAGTTGTTAATGTAGAACTATACGTAGGAAATAATCTATGAAAAAGCCATACTCTCCAAACGAGACTTTGTATAAATGCGTGCATGACATTAGGCAGGAAAGATGATCTGCTAGAGCATGGGGGCACATAGTAGGTATTAGTCCACATGCTTGTTTTATGTATAATAGCCAGGCTTCTCTCAGCCAGCTGCAGAAATGGAAAACAAAACTTCCACCCCTTCCATCCACATCAAAAATCCAGAAGTGAAACTGAATTATCGCACTGAATTCAGCTCATCTTGGAGCCAACCAAGCAGAAAAATACAGCTCCTCCGCAGGAAAGAGGGAGCAATGCATGAACACAGCTCACAAGAAGAAAGAAAAGCTTTGAAACGAAAACAAATAACTGAACAGTAAATAAATGACACTGTTAAAGCAAAGTGCAGCTGAACAGAAAATCTGCAAGTGAGAAATGGGCTGTAGGAAGTGGAAATGTGAGAAAGCATTTAAATAGATTAGAGAGAGGGAAGGTTAATAATAATAAACAAGATTAATATTTCACCCAGAACTGGAAAGAGAGAAGGAGGGAGTTGAGAAATATTGGTACCAAGCAAAATAAATTGAAGCAAACACATAAAGCTTGGGGGAAGATAATTAAAGACAGGCAAAGTGAAGGTAAGAAACAAGACGGGGTGGGAGGGAAGTATCAATGTTTCACTGTTTCTCACGTGGTGGCGTTACTTAGCACTGTGCAAAATGTACGTCTCGTCATGGGCTGACACTGTTCAGGTTTTTAACCACAGCCCTTCGGGGTCTGAGGAGCATTTTCGACAGCTCCACAAATCCCAGTTTAATCAGCCACTGGAATCAGACTGCGGGGGTCTCCTGTGGGGCCTGGATGGGGAAGGCATCTGGGGCAACCCCTGGCCCCTATCCCTGTATCCCTGAAGGAGAAGACTGCAAAAGCTTTGGGACCCAGGCTGGGGTCTGGCCAGGTGCCAAACCCACGCTATTCTTGTGCGCTGTTGAGATTGCAATCACGCCCAGGGCCACTGCAAAGGGCTCCGGGCTCCAACCAGCACCACAGCGGTGGGGTGGGGGACGGATGTCCTATGAAGCAGAGAGCAGCCCACTTTTTCAAGCACGGGGAGAAGAGAGCTGGAAGAAAAGCCAGGGCAAAGACAACTGGGGTAGTGGGAAGCACAGATGGTGTCAGGAGACTTCAGGGAACACAGCATGGAAGTGTTAAAACTACTTTCCCAGGGACATTAAAAAAAAAAAAAAAAGAACAGAGGGCAGAAGGGTGAATCTTGCTGCAGAAGCTGGGCTAGGTGGGTGTTAAGCCAGCAGTGTCACAAAGGATATTAAACAGTTAACAGAGCCTAGGAATTTTAAGGAAGAAACCCTAACCCACTTCCAGCTTGGCAGCCGACAGCAAGTGTTTGTGCCAGACCTTGGGAGCGCGTTGTGCAAGGCCAGTCCCTTTTGTGTAACTGGAGCCAGACAAAGTGTGTTTTCAACCCGTGATGGAGCGGCAACGTGGAGCAAACTGCCAGGTCCGTCCGGGGATGTTTTAATATCAACTCTCCCCACTTTCTCCCTTTTTCTTTCTGGAAGGTGGCTCCAATCATGGCTCTCCCCCGTGGTTCAGGGAGGAAACTCTCTGTTCCAGCTCAAATTGCAGGTTCCAATTCAGGTTGCAAACTGCAGCCTCTATAGGGAAAGGAGACACCATGGGAGAAGGTGGGAAGAAATCAGATGTGGGTAGTGCTCCCAGTCTGCCTGAGTCATGCAGATAGTGCATGCAGGGCAAGCAGTCCAGCCCAGCCCTGGACAGCTTCAGGCTGGTCTGGTTGCATCCTGTCCTCCTTCCTTGGCAGGTCAGGGAAGGCTGGGTTGCTTCATCTGGCCGTGCAATGGAAACAGGGTTGGATGAAGGACGGGAAAGGGGGAGATCATGGGATCCAGAAACCCCAGGGAAAAAGGAAGACCTGCGTGTGATATTTTGCCTTTTCCATCTTGAGGCCTGACCGTTGCAGGCAGCCTGTTCCATTCTTCCCTTTCCCAAAGCACATCTGGGTCTGTAGCTGACCTGGTAAGCTCCAAACAACAGGACAGAGCTCCTCAGGTCAGCCTCGTGGGAGATGACAGAGGCTACCGAACATCCAGCTAGGAAGGACAGGGGTAGCCCAGTTTCACCATGTCTGGCCGAAATACAAGGTGATCCAGGCAGACTTCCATCTCAGCATGACAGCTGTGATGGTCATGAGGAGCCTTGCTATTGGTCATAATAGGTGAGGAACTTGAGTCCTTTAGGGTCTCAGCTACCAGCCAACAGGGGACCAAAGCCATTTTGTCTCATTCCCTTAATCTCCAAGGTAGAGATAATCCAGCCCCATTAGCTTAGAGGCTCATGGGGAGATATCATCATGCATGGAGTCAACCACCGTGATTCGCATCCCTGCCAATACCCTGGCTGAAGGGCCAGATCCAAACTAGCTCACCAAGCAGGGCACAAGCCCAGCCCCAACGCCATCCATGCCATTGGACCATCAGCATGGCTTGGGCACACCCCAACCAGCATTGTCTCAAACAGTGCCCTGACATGGGGCTCCTCCTTGCAAGCAATTTGGCTGTAACCACCCTGTTTGTAGAGGAAAGAGGTTAGAGTTATGGATGTGAATCACCCTTCTTGGATCCAGGGCCAAGGTTTATTATTCCATGGTGACATTTCTGCAGCCAGGAGGGGGGATATTGGAGACCTGCAGGGTCTGAAGGAAAAAGGGCAGTCAAGAAGGATGGTTGGGAGGAGGAAGCAGAGATGAGAAAGAAAAACCCATTACCCTCTTGGGATTCCCCCAAAAGAGTTAATGCCAGTCCTCGCCAAGGAGGACACCAGTGGCCACAACTGTGTTTGGGGAGAAACGATCCTCACAGGTTTATTTAGGTTTGCACTTGTAGCACAGCTCAGTTGATAATACTCTCATTGCTTTTTCACTAAAAGTGGGAATTTCCCATTGCCCAAGGGCAAGCCCTCCTGATCATCTTTCATGACACG